CTCAATCAATGTGTGACTCACATCGCAGCACTAATATTGTATAAGAAATGTGTTAAATCAAATCAAACGATATCGAAATGTTTATTTTACCTGAAGTTTCGCCAACGGTATGATGTCACAGTCCGTCGGGCGATGCCATACGGTCTTCTGAGACGTTGCGTTGTAATAATAAAACCGCGAGGTATTCTGATCGAATAACTCCCACCATTGATTGTTGTCCGTCTTTTTCCTACAGATTATTAAACGGGACGTGTACTACATATTGTGATAACTGACGACTTACTACTTTCTCTAAGACAACTTTCTCTAAAGTAATTACAATAATACCACTTTAAAATAATTAACTGATACGTATAATATAATTAAATTAAGTGCATTTAATTGAATTTAACTTTAAAATATAACTTTAAAATAATAGCTAATTATAACTAGGCTTTAAATATTGATCCAACTTTGAAAATATTATACATTATCCGCCGGTGATTTAAAGAAACTATATAGATTTATTGCAAAAAATATTTCGAAGCTAATTTTTTCATGAATTTTCAGAAATATCGAATAGATGTAGAAAACCTCTGGCAAAGAATTCTTATATTTCATATATTTTTGAAAATATTTCATATTTTAAAAATTCATGAAGATTTTTGAAAAATAAAGAACTCTTAAAAACTTCTTCAAATTTTGTAAATTTTCTTCGAAAAATATAGAATGGGAAATCTTAAGAGATTTAAAAAAACTCTAGAAAAAATATAGACTTTGTCAGCATTCTGACAAATGTTCCAAATTATACAAAAAATTAGAGAAATTTTCTAAAAAGTTATAAAATTACACAGAAATTCTGACGAAAGAAAGAAGTTAAAAAGGACTAATTATATATAGAAAATTGGATTCCGGTGAAATGAATTTGTTTTTACATATAATATAGCTTTTAACGTGGTAGACAAAAAATGTGATAAACACAAGGCTCAATAATGGATAGTTTTTATGCTATGAGGGTACTTTCTATTTAGTGACACAAGTGTTATTCTGTCTTTGTTCATTCTATCTTCACTGAATGCCAAGGAAGATAAAATAAAGCTTGTATCCGCTTGTGGTTGCTTTCCACTAAATGGAAAGCAACCATAATGTACAAAAGATGTTCTATGAATACAAGTTTTAGACCTGAGACATAAAAAACACAAGCAATACAAATAAGGAATAACAAATTTCAATCTATTAGAAACTATAAATATTTTAACTTATCTGTATACACATAATTTCTGATAGCTTAAAATCTCCCTGTTCCTATATTTCTTATTGCTTTTCAATTGTACCAGGCTTTACACCTTTGATACGCCATTGCTCAAAAACTATCCGTTATTGAGCCTTGTGTGTCTATAACATTTTTTGTTTACCACATTACAAACTATGACTGCATTCCACTTGATCCCTGCAACGCTCTTGGAATCAAATGACTACGTTCAGCAGAAAAAGCAACTTTGCAACTGTTGTTAAATTCTTTAATATGATTGGCCTTGTCCTTAATTTCTCACTGAATCTAAGAGTGATATTCATAGTTCATTCTTGTTTTAAGATTGTCTTAAGTAATGTTACGTTAAAATGTTAATACCTCTGATTGGCTTACGACATTTTAAAATTGTACCTAAAACAGTTCCAAATACAGGAATCGACCATGAATACTGACCTATATGTATAAACCATTTGTATTAAAAATTTTTACAATACTTGCAAAGTTATAATACTTTTCTCTATTGAATACAGCCATTTTATTCGTGTTGTTCATCAAATGTTAAACAAGGACAGGGAAGACTGGAAAGACGTGTATTTGAAATACTTTTATTTAAAATACTTTTATTTGCAATACAAGTGTATTTTGTATTTTGTATTTAAAATCAAAAGATTGACAGTTTTTTGTATTTTATAATTTAAAGAATAACATCGATTATCGATCTTAAAATTTGAAATACGAAATACTTTCAATCTTTCGTTATTAATGTTGAAATACCAAACACAAAATATATTTTTATATGCTCCCATGAAGTACAAAATAAAAAAATTTTCATGTGCTCTGCTAAAATACAAAATACAAATGTCTTACAAATACTGCTTTTCAAATAAAAGTATTTCAAATACATGCCCAGCATGAACAAGAATAAATGACTGTTGTTAGCGCCAAATGAAACGCATCCTACATCGTGTGTAAAAATTAACTCGTTTCACCGGATCCAATTTTTCATATAAATTGGAGCGGAATCCAGAAGATATGGAAATGTTAAAAAAATTATATAAAAAAATTTTTTTTAAATTTGCCTAGGATCACTTTGCACGAAAACTATTAAGAGTCAATATAGGAGAGTAGCTTACACAGGTACACCCGGTGGAGGATCCCATACGCATTCTCCCGTGGTCAGGTTCGCGTACATGTGTTCCTTGGTGCGTGGCTCTATGATCTCCACCCATTCCATCCTACTGTAATTGTCAGCCATTAATATCTGTCGGCGGGGGAGCCTTAATTCTTCTGCGATCGCGAATCTATCGGATCCTAAAATAACCGGCGACAAAGGTATATACCTTGCGCAACAGCTCTAAATCACTCTTTTCCTTTAAACTTTCACTCGTTACGAGTTACTCGCGCCTCCGACAATTTTTTATCACTCACAAAATGATATATATATTCATCAGACGTATATGCGTAAATACTTCGACGATAAAATCGTAAGGCGGGATCGATATGTCAAAGGCGATTCCTGGTACAAGACATCGACGAAAATATCGTCGCGTTACAACGGAGCATCGTAGCTTCCATTTTTTATTTACATCCACGATATTTCTTTACAATCTTCGGGAAATACGTCGGCAACATCGATCTCCATGAGGAATTCGAGATAGATCGGGCGTGAAAAAGAAGAGATGTCTCGCGATATCGAGTACGTGGTGTGCGTTTTAAAGCGGGTAACGATGGTGATTAACCGTGATTAACCGAGGAATCTAATTGGAACATCGTACGGCTCGATCTCGGGAGGGGAAAAAAAATCACCGTCACCGCAAACTGAACGAGGGGGTGTAGACGGGAGGGTTGAAAAAAGAGAGGACTGAGGGACCGTTCAAAATTCGCAATAATCATGGCAAGAAGATGCTCAATGACGGAGCGATGATAATCGGGGTGAACGAAGAAGGCCAAGGAGGGTGTTTCGCCCGTCCATCCGTTTGTCCGTGCGCTCGTTCGTGCCCTTGCCGCACCCCTGCCCTAACGGATCCCGCAAATTGATAGGAATGCTGGGCCGCGATGCAACGAGAGAGGCCGTCCACTCTGATGTCATGCTGACCGTTTAATTGGCTGAAATAGGCCGCGGAGATCCATTCGCGCGTGGATTGAGAACGTATGTGCGGGAATATCGTTTTAGAGAAGGAAGGAAGGAAGGAAGGAGGGAAGAAGAGAGAGGGAGAATGGAACAGATGGAGAATGGGAGAAGGAAGAAAAAGGAATGGAGACACGGTACCGAGAGAAAAACGCGTACGGTGACCAAATGAGCGAAAAAAACGCGAACTGCGAAAATGTGCGCACGCGAGGGAGCGAGCGAACGAGAGAGAGAGAGAGAGAGAGAGAGAGAGAGAGAGAGAGAGAGAGAGAGAGAGAGAGAGACCCGCCCAATTGCGAACTACTTCAGGCGGCGAACTTCAACGCGAAAGCGCCGCGAAGAAGTACGGAGTGCAGCGGGAAATCGCGCTCGCGCTCCGTTATCATCAGAAAGGCGACGGTGGAGTCTTCCCTCTCTCTCTTTCTCACCGTTCGTACGAAGGGAAAGAATGGAGACAGTAGAGTGCAAGACGGAGACAGAGAGAGGGAGAGAACTGGGACGGGTGCATGTAAAAAAAATTCACTATCGATCTGCGGAGCACCATCGGTCCCGTGCCCGTGTATGCTCGCGACGGCCGCGTTTTCCCTAGAGCAGTAAACGGCGCTGCACCCCGCGGGTGCAGTCGGGTGCAATTAAAGGGAAAGACAGGTTTCTCGTCACCGATGGTCCTTACCCGTCGGATGCCATCTCGCGCGTCTCTGGTTGGTCAGCCGCCGTCGCTACTGCTGTCGTCGTCGTCGCTGTCGCGCCTTCCGATCTCCCTGTCGCTGCTGCGGCCGTTGTCGTGGTCGTCGTCGTCACCGTCCTCTCTCTCCTAGTCACCGTCGTCGTTACAACGCGCGACGAGTGCAGCGCGGTGCGGCGCGCTTCCACTCCACTCCAGTCTCAAACCACCCCACCGACTATCCTCGGCGCACCGTGTCAACCTCGCCGATGTACACCGCACGCTTCACACTTGTCACTATGACGATGATGACACTCGGATGTTGCAACGTCCCATTTCCGCGAGCGCGAGTAGCGACGCGGCCCCTTCATGGCAGCCTCGCGGCGGCCATCTTTTTTTCTTCTGTTTAGTTCGTGGTTAGTTTCGCCGCCCCGCCGCCGCCAGCACTCCCCTACGGGTAGTGACAAAAATTCGCTCTCTCGCACGCGCACGTCGCGTGTGCTCCCCTCCCCCTCTCCCCCCGTCGCCGCTCTGCGCCGCGAACTGCGCCGCGAACTCTCGCACATACGATCGTTCGAGAGCGATTAATCGAACGACGCTCATTATATTGTCGATCGTAGAAATTGGCTGCGTTCAGCAGAGAAAGCAACTTTGTAAAATTCTGCAATATGATTGGTTTATACGTTTAGATCTATAAGGAACCAAAAGCAAGAACCAATCGTATTGAAGAATTTTACAATAGTTACAAAGCTGCTTTTTCCGCTGAACGTAGCCATTGTAGAAAGTGACTCGGACGATTGACTCTTATTATTATCGACTCACGTATTATTATGAGCTCGCATATGATTTATTGATGACTATTATCTCTGAAAGGACAATAGGAAAATGTACAATGTAGCAAAGGAAGTGAAATCAATGAAAGAAAAATTACTAATATTCAAACTCTTCTTTCTCTTTTTCTCTCTATTTTTTTATAAATACGTAAATATATCACATATGAATTAAAAAATGCACAATATAGTGAAGGAAATGAAACAAAGAGAAAATCACCGATATCCAAAGACAGTTCTGTCTTTTCTTCTCTCTATTTTTTTACAAGTACATAAATGTATTAAATATGAGTTCCATGTTATTAGGTCTCGATTTCACCTAAGTAGATTTGCTTGTCGCTAGATCCCGAGCACACTGAAACAAATTGCAGCATTGTTATTTATCGAAATAAATGAGAAAATATACAAAATTTACATTCCTCTATATTTATGTGAGGTGTCGTTTATCTTATAGAATCATCACATACCTATAGGTTCCTTTGGATGGAAATCGATATCGTTTACAGATCCATTGTGTCCCGGTAATTTGTACAATATTCTACGACTTGTAGTATCCCAGATGTAATGAAATCGGTCTGACGATCCCGCCGATACTTTGCTACCATCCGGTGACCACGCGCATCTCAGAAGATTCTAAAAAAATGTGCAACTTATTAAACAATGTAATATTCCAAGATTTATAATATAGATGTTTCTTTCCTCAACTCTTACAGACTGATAATTCATATAGTACGTTCTTATATTTATATATTGTATTAAACTTTCCAAAGCTGACAATGGTGGATCTAAAGGACACACATACTCGCTCAATTATAAATCTCTACTAAAAATATCAAACAATAAAATTTTCTTCAGGTTACATTCGCAAATTTGGATTATTCTTATTAAAATATATCTAGTATATTGAGAGAGATTCTTTTCTATATAAGTTGTTATTTTAGTTCCTTGAAATTAATTAATGCTTTTCAATTAAAGCAAATTAAATAGATCTTACAAATTCAACGTTAGTAATTGTGTTAGAAATTTTGTCATCAACTCCAGAGGATTAAAATCGTTTTAAATAAATTTTAAGATGATATAAGTAAAACAAATTGATGTTGAATATAACTTATGAATATCAATCAGATAAGAAAAACAAATTGATGTCGAATATAACTTATGAATATCAATCAGATAAGAAAAAAAATATTACGAAAAGGCCACCTTTTCGAAGTTATGTTGATGTCCAGACAGTATCTTCACACAGCGTTCGTAAGGAGCAAATGGTCGCACGTCCCATATCTTCAGCGTGTTATCCATAGCATTGGAAAGTATATAAGATCCATCAGGACTGAGACTTAATCCAGTAATAGTGTCAGTGTGTCCTTTCAGTTTGTAGAGCACAGCATTTTTTCGAAGATCCCACACCTTTATGTCATTGTCAATTCCACCACTAATCACTTGTTCTGCCGTATCATTAAACGTCACTGCAGTAACCTAGATAATAAAAGTTCATGCATAAACTAGTATTCACAATAGATTCTTATATTTAAGACCATCTTATAAATGCAGCCTTAAGATATTATAAAATAATCACAGATGTGTTAGCGTCTTAGACATTACTTAAGATAAGAACAGATTATAAATAACCAACAAACACATAGGTAATTTCCTTATATTATTTAACAAGAACACTTTTATGGTACCTGATATGTATTGTTCAATGTGTAGCACTGACCCCGTTTCCTTGGATCCCAAATACGTATAGTACTGTCGTCACTGCCTGAGCAGAGCAACGTAGGTCCCCTTCGTGCACCTGATACAGAATTTACGAACGAAGTATGGCCCTTCAACTTCTTAATTCGTGTACCAGCTACTATATCCCACAAACCCAATGTCATGTCTGTGCTGGCCGTGTATAAATGATTGCCATCCGGACTGAAATGTAATTCCATCACTGCTCCACTGTGTCCAGTCATAATACCAATATTTTCACATTCTCCATAAACATTCCAAAGGACTGCAAAGGCACAATATACTTCGTTAAATAAAATAACTAAAATTTATACGCAAATATGTCAATCCATGCACAAAACAACTTACAGATCTGTCGATCAAATCCCGTGGATGCAAGGTACTGTCCTTCCGGATGAAATTCTAATGAGAAAATATCTCCTTGATGACCCTCGAGTAACATTATCATTGACATTAAGGAAGATGTCCGTGGTGGGCCCTTTAAAATTTTATTATGTGCACAAACATTACGTTTTTCAAGAGATGTATACTTTTGGTTATACTTACGCTTTGCACAACCGCCTTCTCTCTGCTGCTGAAGACGACTTCATTTTTGGTCCTTTTCGAAGCGGGGACCAACGCTAGAATATCGTCCCCTTTTCTTTTGTCCAAGATCGGCATGTCGATTCAACTTCAACTGGAGCACTTACTTATTATTATTTATTTACTTGATTTCAACAGCATGAGGAGACACGAACACTTGTCCAGTAATATTACAACTAAAGCGCCATTTGACATCTGCGTTCAAAACTCCAATCTATAATTTGATTGTCTACAGCCGATAATTAAAAATAAAAAATTTTTTTTGTATGTGAAAATATAAAAAACATAATGCAAAAAGTATTATTTTCATATCTCTTTCCTTTCCTTATGAAAAAAATTGGTAAAAAAATATTAATTTTGGATCTCTAGACTAGAACCTCCCCTTAAATCAGTGTATCGATAGAGAGAACACAGGCTGCACATAAAAGCTGCGTTCGGGCAGCACGCTATCAGCACCATTGTGTAATACTATCCTTGTCTCACGTCTAATGGACGATGAAGATAGAATGACACAAATAGCGCTAATAGCGACTCCCCGAACGCAGCCAAAGAGTATGAGAGAAACCTGAGAGCAGTGCTGTGCAGGTTATGTCGTTTTAGGTTATGTCCTCATCGCAACCCTTCTCCTATGGCGGTTGGAGTCTCGCGCGAAGCAAATTCGGATCTTTTTTTCTCGTGTTGAGGTTAGAATACTTTCATAGACATGCATTAGTTATTCGCTATTGTCTATTGTCCATCGATTATCAAGGTTATCAACACGGACAAGCTGATTAGAAATGCATGAACATGATTCGAGGAAAATTGACGTGCGCCACGATGAGATAGTAACAGGATTGTCAGGCGAGAACGGTGTGATTGGTGTGATGGGCGGATGCACTCGGCGATGATACGGCAAATTTGCAATCACATTAAATCTAAGAGTGTGAATCATGCACGGGTGTGAAGATGAGCGGTGCAAAACACAAAATATGGTTCGTACCGTAATGTTTTTTCGCTTTAATGACATATACTAATAGCGCTCTCTCTCTCACTCTCTCTTATCTATTTCTCTTATCTATTTTTCTTATCTATTTCTCTTATCTATTTCTGCTTTTACTGTTATTGCTGTTTTTCAACTGCATTGTAACTTCACGTATATGATTCAACTAATTATACCTACAATTCTTAAAAGGTTTATCCTAAAACTAAAATAAATGCTTAATCAATCAGTCAAACAAATCTTTCTCTATTTCTCTCTCTCTCTCTCTCACATACACACACTCACATTCACATTATTTATAAACATTTAAAAACATACCTTGTTTTTTATTGTGTTCACATATAATATACTATTTCACACAGCATGGTGTCGGATTTCTTCTATCCAAACATGGGCGGCGTCGAAGAGCATATCTTCAATCTTTCTCAATGTCTTCTGGAGCACGGGCACAAGGTGGTAATACTCACCCATTCCTATGGAGATAGAGTAGGAATAAGATATATGACAAATGGTCTGAAAGTATGTTTCACTCTTGTAGCCAATTCACTTGCATTATACTACATTAGTGCATACTAAAAGTTGCTGTAGTGCTTTATATAAAATTAGCAAAATTAAATGTAAAAGCATATAAATATTTCGAATAATTAATATTCAACTGTATACATGCATTATCTCATTGTTAATGTTGATTATATTATAAATTATATCATTATATTTAGATTCTTTATATAAAGCAGCCTTTAATATGCATTAATTTACAGTAAATTCTGTTGGAAACACCAATATGTACTGATACACATATTAAAGCCGTTGTATATGAATTCATGTAAAAATGTGTGTATATATAATATCAGTATAGAAACAGATTAAACTACCAAATTTTTAATGTACTTTATTGTGCTGTTAGGTAAAATATATTTTTCATAATTCGAAATATTTGCATTTCATTTTTATGCTCAAATTAGTATACAATGGCTTTAATATGTAACAGTGCACATTTGTATATCTAATCGCTATTGTAACGCAAGTGACTGAAATCATCATTATTCAATTAGTTTTTAAACTCCTTCATATTTTCTTTTCTTCTTATGTCCTCGTGTCTTATTTAAGGTATATTATATCCCTGTCAAGGTTTTCTATAACCAATGTGTTCTTCCAACGATGGTATGCTCTCTTCCACTCATTAGGTATATCTTCATAAGAGAGGAGATACAGATAATACACGGCCATTCTGCATTCTCCGCTTTAGCCCACGAGGGGATGTTGATCGGTAGATTAATGGGACTAAAAGTAAGTCTTGATTGTGAGAGAAGACTCAGACAGTACAAAGTGACTAACGCTATGTTCTTGCAGACTGTTTTCACGGATCATTCTCTTTTTGGTTTTGCGGACGCGTCCGCTATTCTGACAAATAAGTTTCTTGAAATATCGCTAGTTGATTGCGATCATTGCATATGCGTATCTCACACCGGAAAGGAAAATACAGTATTACGAGCCAAAGTGCAAAAGAAAAAGGTATCGGTTATCCCAAATGCAGTTGATACCACATTATTTACACCTGATATCAGTAAACGGAACAACGATTTTAGTAAGTTTAGCTTCCAAAGTCTATAGTTGCCTGTATTAGGAAGGTAGCATTCTGATTGTAATCATGATTTTCAGTTACCATAGTAATAATATCGCGATTAGTGTATAGGAAGGGCGTTGACCTTCTAGCCCATATAATACCCGAGATCTGTTTACGTCACAAAAATGTACAATTCTTAATCGGCGGAGACGGTCCGAAAAGATGGCTTATAGAAGAGGTACGGGAAAGAAATCTGTTGCAACATAGAGTAACTTTATTAGGCAGTCTGGAGCACTCTCAAGTCAGACACGTTCTGAATAAGGGTCATATCTTTCTAAATACGAGCTTGACAGAGGCTTACTGTATGGCTATTGTAGAAGCAGCCTCTTGTGGGTAAGCTATGATATGATGCACTTTGTCATCTTGTTTCATATTTATGATGCCTGCAATTAATTTAGATCTTTAAACCTAGTTTTCTTAACAAATAATATTTATCATATTAATCTAATATTGGGCAATGAGAGCATTGATGCAGCGCGGAATTTGGTGCGCGCTGTATCAATGCTCTCATTGTCCGATATTAGATTAATTTAATTTCGAGAGCCCTATTATTATACTAAAAATAATATTTATCATATTCTTCTACTAACAAAGTTTTTGAATAAACGAAAATGAATAACAAATATTGTTTTATAGTCTGCAAGTAGTGTCAACGAAAGTTGGAGGTATTCCGGAAGTTTTGCCGCCGGATCTGATTTATCTCGTGGAACCTACTGTTCCTGCATTAATTGAAGGATTGGAAATGGCTATAATGGATTACAAAAAGGGCAATGTCGAATGTCCTTTCGAGACGCATAGGAGAATAGGCTTATATTATAATTGGTTCAACATTACCAAACGTACGGAAATAGTGTATAATTTAGTAAAACGTGAAGCAAAGAGAAATCTAGGACAACGATTAGCTAGTCAAATACAAAGCGGTGTATTGGTCTACTTGCTTGTAGTGTCGTTGTGCTATATAATACTACAAATACTGGAATTTCTCGTTCCAAGAAAGGTAATAAAAAAATCAAACTCATTTAACTCTCTTATGTCCGTGTACTTCAATTCTAATATATATATTGTTTTTTTTTAATTTTTTGTGCAGTTATATTTTTTGGCTTATATTTTACTTTTACTTTTTAAAGTTGTAACTGCACAAAAAATTAAAAAAAAACAATATATATATTAGAATTGAAGTACACGGACATAAGAGAGTTAAATGAGTTTGATTTTTTCAATATATATCAAAGAGAATTTTTATATTTAAATGTAAACAAATTTGTTTATTTATAAAAATGAAATTTTTCAGTATATCGATATTGCACGAGATTACAGCGATATTAATGTTGTATCATCTAATGGGAAAAGAAAAGAAGATTAACTATCATCACAGAAGCCTGGAATATAAACTCTTAAATGTGTTCAAATATTTTATTCTACACTTTTGAAACATTTCAGAAAACTTGTTTTTTCTCTGAAAGTTATTGTTATACAGGTAATTATAATATGTCTTTGCATAGAAGAATAACTATTGCATTTACCAATCGTTGCATTTACCAATAAATTTTTAAAAAATATAATTTGTATATACAACACAACATATATATATATAATATGTATATAAACATATTATATTATAGAGATGGATCGAAACCACATTTTTACGTCGAAATTCTCAAAATTCTGAAAATTTTGAAATCTGAAATATTGATGTACGAGGGTTGTTTGAAAAGTTTTGAGTCTCAAATGAAGATGGCATTATTCATCAAAACCATTCTGATACTACAATCGTACATGCTTTGAAAGATACCTGAAAATTGTAGTCATTGTGGACGCTCAGTTGTTTGACAGTCATTTGTGCCAGTTGATGTCAGTGATTTTGTGAAAATGGAAAAAATCGAATATACATTTCTAAGGCTCTGTTGGAACGGTTTAAGCGAAATGAGTTGGATTTTTTGCGTTGATTAATAACTGTTGATGAAACTTGGCTCACTCCTTAGACGAAAGAACAGTCAAAACAGGAACAGTCGATTACATCCATAGAAGCCTATTTTGCAGAGCAAAACACCAACTATTATTTGAATGAGTTAAAGGGATAGGACCATCGCTGGGAAAAGTATATCGACTTAAAAGGAGACTATGTTGAAAAATAAAACTGAATTTGACCAAAAAAATACTTGTTTCTATGTTAGGCTCAAAACTTTTCAAACGACTCATATTTTAAATATATTTTATTAAAAACAAGAGGGTAATTATAAAACTCGTAAGATAATAAATTTAAAAAAATGTTGACGTGATTTTTTTATTAAAAGATTAATAAAATTGTTTTCTGCCAATGAAAACAATCACATCATCATAGTAAGAGAAGCGCCAATTGTAGTCAAAGTTATATGTTGAAATAATATATATATATATTTATTTGTTTTAAATGTCGAAAGGTCGATTTTTTTTAGCAAAAAATGTAACAAAAGCTCATTTTATGCACGATTACCAAAAGAAATATTTTTGGCTGAGCGCCACTAATCTTAGTTGGTGGAAGGATGTATTGCTGTGAAGGGGATGATTCATCTACAAAAAAAG